ATTTTTAGTTCCCTGTAGAAGATCTGTTCTATGTATAAGTTAATTAGTTGACACGCTTTATTAGTTTTTTTTTTTAATAATTGCAATTTTATATTTGGACATTCACTCTTATAGTTAAGAGTGCACGGTTTTATGCTAGTAGGATTTTTATATATGAGGAAGTTTTGAGAATTTGTCGGCCGGATCCAAAAGAATTTTAAAAGATTTCTATTCTTTGGTTATTTGGTTAGATTTTGTGAAGAGGGTCAGGTAGTTTGCTTTTCAGCATCCACTCGTACAGAAAGAAAGAAAGAAAGAAAGAAAGAAAGAAAGAAAGAAAGAAAGAGAAAAGAAAAGAAAGAAAGAAAGAAAGAAAGAAAGAAAGAAAAGAAAAGAAAAAAAAAAGAAAGAAAAGAAAGAAAGAAAGAAAGAAAGAAAGAAAGAAAGAAAAGAAAGAAAGAAAGAAAGAAAAGAAAGAGAAAAGAAAAGAAAGAAAGAAAGAAAGAAAGAAAGAAAGAAAAGAAAGAAAGAAAGAAAGAAAAGAAAGAAAGAAAGAGAAAAGAAAGGAAAGAAAGAAAGAAAGAGAGAAAGAAAGAAAGAAAGAAAGAAAAGAAAGAAAGAAAAGAAAGAGAAAAGAAAGGAAAGAAAGAAAGAAAGAAAGAAAGAAAGAAAAGAAAGAAAGAAAGAAAGAAAGAAAAGAAAGAAAGAAAGAAAAGAAAGAGAAAAGAAAGGAAAGAAAGAAAGAAAGAAAGAAAGAAAAGAAAGAGAAAAGAAAGGAAAGAAAGAAAGAAAGAAAGAAAGAAAGAAAGAAAGAAAGAAAGAAAGAAAGAAAAGAAAGAAAGAAAGATAAAAGAAAGGAAAGAAAGAGAGAAAGAAGACACGGCAACTAATTGGTTTTTAAGGTATGATTCCTCATGTTCAGAATCTAATAATTTCGTTCTGCTCTTCCACGATCATTGATGGTTTATAGTCAGTAACTAATGGTATTTTCTTGGGTTATTTCCGGCAGCATTCGCGCAGGAATCCCTGCTACTTGACACGGCAAGAAGTCAGCAGGGTGGCAAAGGCGGGAAAGGGAAGTTTGCTACCCGTTTACACATGCTTACACAAAGAGCTTCTAAACCTATATGTAAATATGCTTAGAGAATATATCAATACAAATACCAATGTATACACCGACATCAATTTTACTTTACTGAGGATGGGTGTTGTACTTGGGTAGATTTATATTTAGAAAGAGAGAAATAGACAGGGAACAAGGAAGGTAAAAAGAAAAAAAATAAGACAAATGAAAAACGTTACAGAAAAGAAAACATAAAGAAGTAGGTAAAATCCAGAGAGATAAAAATCGATATATCAAAGCAAAGATAGAGAGAAAGCTGAAATTAAGGGAGATAAAAATCGATATATAAAGGGAAAGAGAGAGAGAGAGCAAGGTAAAAAACAGAGAGATAAAAATCGATATATACAGGGAGAGAGAGGGGGGGGGCAAGTTAAAAAGCAGAGAGATAAAATTTGAGATACAAAGTAAAAGAGAGAGAGAGAGAAAGGTTAAAGACAGAAATACAAATCAAGATATAAAGGGAAAGAAAGAGAGAAAGGAAAAATCCAGAGAGATAAAAATAGAAATATAACGTGAAAGAGGGAGAGAGAGAGAGAGAGAGAGAGAGAGAGAAAGAGAGAAAGAGAGAGAAAAAAATGCATGAAAGTAAAACTCGAGATGCAAAGGGAAAAAGAGAGAGAAAGTTAAAAGTCAGAAAGATAAACCTCGAGGTATAATGAGAAAGAGAGAGAGAAAGAGAAATGTTAAAGGCAGAAAGATAAAAATCAAGGCATAGGGAAAAAGAGAGAGAGAAGGATAGAATGCATGGAGGTAAAAATCCAGATATGAATAGAAAGAGAGAGAGGGATAAAGTTAAAATACATGGAGGTAAAACTCGAGATATAGAGGGAAAGAGAGAGAGAAATGTAAAATCCAGAGAGATAAAAATCGTGATGTAGAGGGAAAGAGAGAGAGAGAAATGTAAAATCCAGAGAGATATAAATCGAGATATAGAGGGAAAGGGAGAGTAAGGTAAAATCCAGAGAGATGAAAATCGAGTTATAGAGCGAAAGAAAGAAATGTAAAATCCAGAGAGATAAAAATCGATATATAGAGGGAATAACGGGGTATGGTAAAATCCAGGGTGATAAAAATCGAGATATAGAGGGAAAGAGAGAGAGAAATGTAAAATCCAGAGATATAAAAATCGAGATATAGAGGGAAACGGAGAGTAAGGTAAAATCCTGAGAGATAAAAATAGTGATATAGAGGGAAAGGGTGAGTAAAGTAAAAACCAGAGAGATAAATATCAAGATATAAAATGAAAGCGAGAGAGAAATGTAAACTCCAGAGAGATAAAAATCGAGATATAGAGGGAAAGCCAGAGAGAAATGTAAAATCCAGGGGAAAAAAATCGAGATATAGAGGGAAAGAGAGAGAGAAATATAAAATCCAGAGAGATAAAAATCGGAATATAGAAGGAAAGAGAGAGAGAAATATAAAATGCAGAGAGATAAAAATCGATATATCGTGGGAAACAGAGAGTATGGTAAAATCCAGAGAGATAAAAATCGAGATATAGAGGGAAAGCGAGAAAGAAATATAAAATCCAGAGAGATAAATATCGATATATCGTGGGAAACAGAGAGTATGGTAAAATCCAGAGAGATAAAAATCGAGATATAGAGGGAAAGCGAGAGAGAAATGTAAAATCCAGAGAAAAAAATGTGATATAGAAGGAAAGAGAGAGAGAGAGAGAAATGTAAAATCCAGAGTGATAAAAATCGAGTTATAAAGGGAAAGAGAGAAATGTAAAATACAGAGTGATAAAAATCGTGATATAGGGGGAAAGAGAGAGAGAAATGTAAAATCCAGAGAGATAATAATCGAGATATAGAAGAAAAGAGTGAGTATGGTAAAATCCAGAGAGATAAAAATCAAGATATAGAGGGAAAGAGTGAGTAAGGTAAAATCCAGAGAGATAAAAATCGTGATATAGAGGGAAAGAGAGAGAGGTGTAATATCCAGAGATATAATAATCGAGATATAGAGGGAAAGAGAGAGAGAAATTTAAAATCCAGAGAGATAATAATCGAGATATAGAGGGAAAGGGAGAGTAAGGTACAATGCAGAGAGATGAAAATCGAGATATAGATGGAAAGAGAGAAATGTAAATTCCTGAAGTATAAAAATCTATATATAAAGGGAATAAGAGCGTATGTTAAAATCCATGAAAATCGAGATATAGAGGGAAAGGGAGAGTAAAGTAATATCCAGAGGGATAAATATCGAAATATACAGGGAAATAGAGAGAGAAATGCAAAATCCAGAGAGATAAAAATCGTGATATAGAGGGAAAGAGAGAGAGAAATGTAAAATCCAGAGAGATAAATCGAGATATAGAGGGAAAGAGAGAAATGTAAAATCCAGTGAGATAGATATCGAGATATAGAGGGAAAGGGAGTGTAAGGTAAAATCCAGAGAGATAAAAATCCTGATATAGAGGGAAAGAGAGAGTAAGGGGAAATCCAGAGAGATTAATATCGAGATATAGACGGAATGAGAGCGTATGGTAAAATCCAGTGAGATGAAAATCGAGATATAGACGGAAAGAGCGAAATGTGAATCCTGAGTGTTAAAATTCGAGAAATAAAGGGAAAGAGAGATGGAAAGATATAATTCGGAGAGATAAAAATTGAGATTTGCAGGGGGGTTGCTGCCTTTTTAGCTTTTTTTTCATTCCGATGACTTTCCCGACTATGTCAAAGTTGCTGAGCAGCTCTAACAGAGATGTACTCTGTCAAACACCTTTGCGTAGTCTATAAAACACAAGTACACGTCCTTCTGCATTTGTATTGCACTTTCTCGTAACATTCTGGTCATCAATATCCCGTCCCTTGTTCCGTTGTTTTTGACGGACCTGCACTGTTCTTGTCCTATCTCTGGCCTGATTCTACTGTTCGCTCTATTCATCAAAATTCGGATAATGGGTTTTGTTATGTGGCTCATTAACCTGATTGTCCGGTGGAGTTCACATTCGTTTGCGCCCAGTTTCTTAAGCAGTGCTATAAAAATAGATCTTCTTAGGTCTTCAGGCATATCACCACTGTTGTAGATTTCATTTATTATTTCTCTGATTTTGTCTATGCGAAATTCCCTAAAAGCTGCCAGCATCTCTATTACAATTCCGTCTGCCCCTGCCGCTTTGTTACTATTCAATTTGGCCAGTGCATCTTCCACTTCGGCTTTTAATATTTCCGGACCGTCGATATTTCTGTGTATTGCCGGTTCTCTTTCGTCGTAGAAGCGATCTTCGATATATTCGTTCCAGCTTTGAAGTATTTTTTTAATTTCTCTAATATTAGCGTTCTGTCCTTGGATTTTATGCAGCCTGTTGATGAGCATGTCTTTTGTCCTTTTAGCTTTCTTATATTTCATGCATATCTCCTTTATCTGAGATACTCATTCTCTCTATTTCTGCATAATTTTTGTTGACCCATTCTTCTTTAGCCCGTCTGTATTTGTTTCTTCATCCCAAAGGAAAATGGACGAAGAAGAAAAAACGAATTGATACCAAATGAGATTCTCGACATGAAGCAAAAGAGACAGAAAACAATGCCAAGACATGGAACGGAATACAGAAAATTACACAATGTAATAAGGAAGCTTCTACTTATTAAATCGATTGTAGTTAAAGTAGAAACGGTATCAACTGGGATAATCAAGCGTGGGGGGATAACGCCTGATAAAAACCACCAGTGACATATATAATCTGACTTCGTAGTTTCTGTAGATTTTATGTTTTTTTTATACAAGGACGAGTATTGTTTTGCCGAAGGCGTAACGCCCGTCTGACTTGTAAATCAGTATCCGATATACTGGATTTTCGCTGTATTTAAAATATGTAGACAGACAAAAAAGAAAGTCATATAAAAAAAACAACCTAAAGAGACAGAAAACTTAGAAACAACAGTGACATTTTTACAGTCCATATTGAAAATTCCTGTTTCAGATTCCAAGTTACATGACCTTACAAATAAACTAAACAGCATCGAACGTACAATAGAATTTACTTATGAAACAGAAGCCAGCAATACATTACCTTTCCTCGATATCATGTTAAACCGTACTAAAAATGATGTCAAACTAAATGTCTGTCATAAAACTAATAAAAATTATCTCATAAATTTCTATTCACTCCATTGCAACAAAATAAAATCCGGAATAATTATAGTTTTATTTGAGAACTCTTAAAATTTCTAGCCCTCAATATCTACAAGATGGAGAGAATATATTTAAAAAATACGCTTAACCTCTCCCGATATACTAATAATTTCATATTTAATGCTCGTTGTAAAGCTCATCATATGTATGAATAAAGAAAAATAAATAATATAAAATCTTGATAAAACTAGATACATAAGTATTATGTGTCTAGTTTTATCAAAACTATTATATTATTTATATTATTTGTTTTTCTATATTATACATTTGATGAGCTTTACGACGAGCATTATACTACCTAGCAACTTAATAACGACTACAATTAAAAATAATATAAATTTAGCTACAACTACTTGAAAAACAATAAGAGATATAATAAAAAAACAAAATAATAACTTAAAACCTGAAATCGCTAATTCCCATTATGTGAATAACGGCAGCTATACGTTGTAGCAAGGAGTTTACCAGATAGTTCAGTTGTTGAGTGGTTGTACCTATCGGGACACATCTAATGATACTCCATAACTCAGCTGTGTTTGTTGGGTGGAAATGCTTGGATAATATCAGAGATATTGAAAATGTTCATCCCGAATCAAAAATGTCCAAAGCAGTAAAAATGTCAAACCGGAAGAAGTTTGAGAATCCATTTGTTCAAGACAAAGATTTGAAACATATCACTGATATTAGATAAATATATGTGACAGTGAAAAGTCAATTCAAAGACCATTTCTACAATGAGAAGTTTAATTGATCCACAAAAGAAATGTGTGTCACCAATTACAGATGAAGAATTAATGAAAGCTATTCGAAAGCTCATCGTCAACCCAACAGAGTTAGTGAAATATGCTTTATGAAAAAAGTAAGAAAAAATCTATTAGCGTATATTTTGTGGGTTCGGTTAAAAGAGATTTGGGAGAACGAAGATCAAGAGACAACAAGGCGCACCCTTTAAAAAATGACAAGAGATACTCCATGTGGTATAAAACCAAATAATTATTAGGGATGGACAAATTTTGTGGCTTGTGTACCCAAGAAGGGAGTAATAAATTTTGGACAAGTAACTTATTTTTCTAAAATAAGACTCAATGGTAGTTATAGGAAAAAAAGGTATATAGGGTGACCCCCAAAAAACGGGAATTTTTTAAGTGCGTATTGCCAGACATCAGCAAGTGGCAACACTGTGTGACAGTGACCTTGAGCAAGTAAACATTTCTCTATTTAGAATTCAAGAGGAAATTCACAGTATCCCAGCTGAGATGTTGCAGCAGTCAATGAGGAATCTCAAAAGCAGATTTCAAGAATGCATTCGTACAGGAGGACGCCATCTACAGGACGTAATTTTTTAAAAAAATGAAAATTCCATCATTGTTTCTTAAATGGCATGTTTTAAGGTTTCAATTATAATGAATAAAATATTTTTCTTCCATCACTCTTGGTTTTATTGGATTGTTAAAAGTTCCCGTTTTTTGGACCACCTTGTACATATTATAATCAAATTAATTAAATAACATGAAATATCACAAGAAAATGCGCACTTATCATTGGGAAAGGTATGAATCCGCCAGTAAGACTTGAATCTCTAAACCATTATTATATCTAAAAAAAAAAATTTTAAATCTAAAAATATTGACTGACTTTAAATAACCTGCAAGAGGTTGATAAGCCGTAAAAAATAAATCAATTCATCAATCAATAAAAATAACAAAATAACTGAAAACAGACTGAAGTTGTTCAACTCCCTTTTCCCGACATTGCGATATATAGGTGAAAAAAGAAGCGTAGGTCACGAACATGTTTTTTCACCGGATTTATTTAATATATTTAACGGGAAATGATGTGGTATGGTATGATATTCGTTGTTCCTGTCTTTTAGGATCATCAGAGACTACATGAACTTGGTGTAAATAGTGACTGATACCCACAAGAAAACTGTGAAGATCTATCTGTTCGACTGTCTGCTTTCAAGGACCTGGTTATCTCCGAGTCGCTGTTGTTGACCGTTGATGCCACGACCACGGTGTTCCTTCTCGTTTTCTCGGTCAGATTGGAAGCTGTCTAACGTCTGAAAGAGAAATAAGAATGCTCAAATTTGGTGCCATGCTGCGTAATGCAAAAAAAAGAAAAGAAAAATACACTTCAGAAAAATGGGGAAATACAATTCAAAACCGAAGAATGGATTTGAGTTTATTTTCTTTTACGACATATCAACAACTAGATGGGTTATTTAATGCCGACACGATTTTTAGAATAGATTCGTAGGAACAGAATATATATTCTTTGTAAGAAATCAGTTCCTAGATCAGATTTCATCGACGTGCTTTTGCAAAGAGTTTTTTTTTTTTTTTTTGTTGAGAGTTTAATATTTTTTAAATGTATTACATGTATTTTTTTTTCAAAAATTTATTGTCAGTATTTTTACAATAAAAATCTATTTTTATATTTTCATAGTGTTTTGACCCCCAGTTTGGGAGTTGACTATTTTCCCGGGTCAGAGTGGACCTGGGAATTAAGAGGGGTTCCACGCTCCTCAAAACCTGCAGATCAAAGGTCTTTCTGTTGCATGTAGTTTATCGTCATACCCAGGACGAAAAACGAAGAGACACATGACTTTACCGTGACTAAATCTTCCACTCGGTTTGAGGAATCTGTGAGCCGTGTTCGAATTCCAGTCGAGTTCGTTATATTCGCTTACGCGCAAGTACCCTTAGGAATGGTAAATCCATCTCTTCTTTTCCTAGCTATTGGTAAATAACAGAACAGACTGTGTCAGTTCTGCTATAGTATGATATCTACCGTCCATTTTCTGCTATAGTATGATTTCTACTATTCGTTTTCTACTATGGTATTATATTTACCAACCGTTGGAAATATGAAATATGTTAAGGTTTGCGTTAGGGTTAAAAGCAGTAAACAGTGAACTGGTTATGTATTAGAATTATTAGCAATTATTTTGCAAACTGATTTGATATAATTTAAAAAAAAAACGGTAAACAGGTCATCGTTTTTCCCGGGTAATTTCCAGCAATAATGAGTGCATCGTCGTTTAGGGTAGATCGCAGATGTCTTGGTAGATATCGTACTATAGTAGCACCACTAGGTTCTATAGTCTTGGGTGGCTGCCAATCTAGAAGGAGGACAACTCTGAATTCTAAACCTGAGGAGGGTCGTTTGGGAACCCCTATAGAGCGCTGTGCACCAAGCATCTTTCAAAAAATGTGGTTGGTTCACCAATATGCGGGTAGTTTGCCTGTTCAAATTTAGATGTTGAATCGTCATACATCGAAAATCGACGGGAATGTCCTCCATACATAGATAGGAATATAATGATGTTCGTGTTGTGTATTTCATACCTTTCGATCAAATCAACCAATGATGCATCGTTTCTGATTGGTTCTTATTTTTCATGTCGTTTTTTTTCTTTCTATATTTATTTACTGTGTCCATTTGTTGAAACTTAGCGGACAAATGCGTTCCGAACGGCGCCCAGACACTATGCGTGTAAATTTAGGAAGTTGACAGGCAGGAAATTGAGAAGCGAATCCCCATCGTGTTAAAGTGTGGCGTCATGTGACACCATCAGTTAAGAATTCTTATCCACCGAGAAAATGTTTCTCTCTCTCTCTCTCTCTCTCTCACTCCACCTCTCTCTCACTCACTCATTCACTATCTATCTATCTATCTATTTATCTAGTTGTAGCTAACTCTATATCGTCCTCTACCTCTCCTTTTCTCTCTTTCTCTGGCCCACTATTTTTATCTCTTTTTCTCTTCTGCGTCCTCCCTCACTCTTCCCCTCTCTGTCTCTTTCCTTATCTTCCTCTCTCTATCTCTCCCTAACCCTCTCTCTCCATCTTTTCTCAATTTCTCCTCTCACTCTCTTTCTCTCACACATACATACAAACACACAGTCTCTCTCTCTCTCTTTCCCTATCTATCTCTCTAGTTCTAGCTCTCTCTACAACTTCCTCTCTCTATATATATATCTCTCTCGTGCTCTAATTTTATCTCTTTTTCTCTTCTGCTTTCTCTATTTCTCTTTCCCTCTCTGTCTCTTTCTTTATTTTCCTCTCTTTATTTCTGCCCAGCCCTGTCTATCTATCTATCTTTTCTCATCTATCTATCTATCTATCTATCTATCTATCTATCTATCTCCATATCCTTCTCATCTTTTTCTCGATCACTACTTTTTTCTCTGTCCTTCTATCTCTCTGTCATTTTTCTTTCTCACTGTCTGTAACTCTTTCTCTCTCCCTCTTTCCATATTCTTCTCTTTCTCTCTCTACACCTTCTTCCTCTGATTCTTTCTCTTTACTTCCCTCCAGCTGCCTCTGTTTCTATTTCTATCTCCTCTTCTTTTGTCTCTCTTTGGATAACTCTCTATATCGCTTTCTGTTTATACCCTATTTCTCTCTCGCTAACACTCTATCTTCTTGCATGTATTTCTTTCACACCTCTCTCTCTCTCTCTCTCTCACACACACACACACACACACACACACACACACAAACACACAAACACACACACACACAGATGCACGTATCGTGAGTAAATCAATTGTCTTTTTAGTGGACATCATTTTCCCCCTTTTTAGGCTTCAGACAGAGACATTAACTTCTTTGACATTAAAGCATGGGGTCCTTCAGGGTGACAACGTTGCACCGTTTCTCTTTGTTATCACACTTGAGTACGTACTGAGAATTTCATTTATTAAACATCATCATCCTGGTTTTACTTTATCACCAAGACAGTCAAGTC